AAGTCCTGGTAAAGACTTTGTTGTGACTGCTTATTTAGTCCACTTTAGTGAGAAATGATATTTAGAAACCAAGATTTTGTCATTGAACATGTTAATTACTACTGGTTATTATTGCTTCTAAACCATTTAAATAAGGCCTTTTTCTCTCTCACTCTCAAAAACAGAAGTACCGGGCTGGGAAGGTGGCTCAGTGGTAGAGCGCTTGCCTTGCATGCATGAGGCCCTGGGTTCGATTCCTCAGCTCCACATAAGCAAAAAGAAAAAAGCCAGAAGTGGCACTGTGGCTCAAGTAGTAGAGAGCTAGCCTTGAGCTGAAGAGCTGAGGGACAGTGCCCAGGCCCAGAGTTCAGGCCCCACGACCGGACCCAAAAAAAAAAAACATAAGTACCACTGTGTCTCAAAGTGGTAGAGTGCTAGCCTTGAGCAAAAAGAGCTCAGGGACACTACCCAGGCCCTAAGTTAAAGCCCCACAGCTGGTTTAAAAGAGAAAAAAAAAAAGTCTCTCATACTTTCTTCTCTTGCTAGCTTCAAACCATGATTCTCAGATCTCAACCTCCTGAGTAGCTAGGACTACAGGCATAAGCCACGGGTGCTGAGCCATGTTTTAATATATTACATATAACTTCAAAACAAGTTCCAACACATTTCCAAATGCATTTATCTAGAACTTGATTCCTCCTCATTCAAGGAAAAACTATACAAAAAAAACTTATTGCACATAAACCATTACTCAAATATACTAAAGTAAAATAATGACATATAAGGGAAAAATTAAGAAATTAACCTTGGAATATTATTGCCAAAAAACTATATATATATAATATATATTATATATACTTAAATTATATATGAGTAATTGAATATATATTTCATATATATAATATAAATGGAATATGTATTTACATTCCATTGCCCAGTTCTATCCCCAAACAACTTGGGAATGTACCCACTCCTATCTTCACTTATTCTTCTTCATATATCAACTCTCATCTAGATCCATCCAACAATCTCTTTACTGACCTTGCCCATCTGAATCTTTTCCATTCTTAAAAGCATTTAACAAAGCTGTAACTTCGCATTTCTTAGCATACAGACTATATTTACTCACTACTAAATCACTATGGTCTAAAAGAGTGGCTAGTTAATAAAATCTAAATCACTGAACATGGTGCCAAAAATTATTAATTTATCTATAGTAAGAAAAAATGAAGATAAAGTGGTTATAAGATACCAACTGGTCCATTATTTGCCACCATCCCTAATTTTTTTCCTGTATAATTTAGCTTTAACAATTTTATTTTTCTCTCAATTTCTACTATTCTATTTAAATTCCAGATTAAATCTTACCTTCTTTATGGAATCTTCCCTAGTTTTGTTTTGCTTTTTTGCTTTTGTTTTGCTTTGCTTTTTGGTCAGTCATGAGACTTGAACTCATGGCCCAGGCACTGTCCCTAAACACTTTTGCTCAAGGCTGGCACTCTACCACTTTGAGCAACAGCATCATTTCCAGTTTTCTGGTGGCTAATTGGAGATAAAAAGTCTCACAGTTAAGAAGCTTGCCTAGACTGTCTTCCCAATTCTCACATCTCAGCCTCCTCAGTAGTTAGGATTACAGGAGTGAGCCACCAGCGCCCAGCAAACTTTCCCTACTTGATCTCACTTTTTAATTTTAATGTTGTAAAACATAAATATCTAATATATATGCATTAGTCTTTCTAGTTCTTGAAGACAAAGTTTTACATATCCAACATTCCACTAGAGTATAAATTTCACAAAGAGCAGAGATTTCTTTTTGTCTCTTGTTCTCAGCTCTATCCCCAACAACTAGTCAAGCATGTGGTACAGAATACATGTTATGCAAGTATGTGTTAATATTATTTATAAATTATAGATAAAACCAATCTTTGCAGTTGTGGTACTTGGGAGTCAAAAAAGAACTGTATTAAAGTAAACACTATGAGCTTTAGTGTCTGCCTACTAAATATAAATAGTATTGAATAGCTCACTAGCTTGTTATAATTAATAGAAATAAGACTTTAAAAGCAGCTAGTACAGAGATAAGGATAAGATGTTCTTAGTGATAAATGTTTTCATTATTTCATTAAATAGTAAGTATTCTAATAAATAAATAAAATCTCAGGAAAAAATATCAGTTGGAAACCTAGAAATCTCAAAAAGATATAGAAAGTTCAAATAATGTGTAGGTTCTTATCATTTTTCTAACAAAGAATTCCACAAATTAATTCAGTAAATTAATCTGAAATATTCTACATTTAGCCTCAAATAGTAAACACAGCTGAAACCATTTCAGATTCACTAAGAATAACTTCAAATTGACAGAGTATAAATTTTAATATATTTGTTTTACTGAAACATACTGATATATTGCTTAAATACATGATATGGACAACACTTTGGAAGGCTGAGGCAGGAAGATCAAAATTCAAGGCTAATTTGGGCTTAGAGCAAATTTCAGGACAGCTACATAACTCAGTCTCATTTTAAAAAATAAATAAATATAATCTTACTATTAAAAATTATTTAGTATAGGAGCTGGGAATGTGGCTTAGTGGTAGACTGCTTGCCTAGCACACATGAAGCCCTGGGTTTGATTCCTCAGTACCACATAAACAGAAAAACCTGGAAGTAGTGGTGGCTCAAGTGGTAGAGTGCTAGCCTTGAGTAAAAGAAGCTTGGGGACACACTCTGAGTTCAAGCCCCAGGACCGGCAAAAAAAAAAAAAAAAAAATTCTATGTATAAGAATAAGAAAAAGAAGTGGAGGTATGGCTCAAATGGTAGAGCACCAGCCTTGAGTGAAAAACTCAAGTGAGAGTACAAGGTCCTAAGTTCAAGCCCCAGTACCAGCACAAAAAAAATTTTTTTTAATTAAAAAAAAAAGCCAGGTGCAGCTGGCTCATGCCTCTAATCCTTTCTACTCAGGAGGCTGAGATCTGAGGATCACCGTTCAAAGCCAGCCAGAGCAGGAGAAGTCTGTGAGACTCTTTATCTCCAATAAACCACCAAAAAACCAGAAGAGGCGCTGTGGCTCAAGTGGTAGAGCGCTAGCCTTGAGCTGAAGAGCTCAGGGACAGCGCCCAGGTCCAGAGTTCAAGCCCCATGACCAACCAAAAAAAAAAAAGCCAGTGGCTCACGCCATAATAATCCTAGCTACTCAGGAGACTGAAATCTGAGGATCTCAGTCAGAAGCCAACCCAGGCAAGAAAGTTTATGAGACTCATTTCCTTAATCACACACACACATACACACAAGCTGGAAGTGGAGCTGTAGCTAAACACACACACACACACACACACACACAACACACACACACACACACACACACACAACACACACACACACACACACACACACACAAGCTGGAAGTGGAGCTGTAGCTCCAGTGTAGAGAGCTAGTCTTGAGCTAAAGAAGCTCAGAGACAACACCCAGGCCCAGAGTTGTAGCCCCAGGACCCACAGGAAAAAAAAAAAAAGGCAGTGGGTGAGGGAGCCACAAACTTCAGTTGTATAATCCCCAGAAATGAAGGACAAAATTTCTGTCTGCAAACGCAAAAAGCTGTTTACCAGAGCTATCAAATGATCTAGAAACACCTCATTACAAATCATCACAAACATATTTTTCAAAACTCACATCCCATTTTACAGGAAAAGCATTCATTAAGCAGTTTTTAACCTTTTTGCTAAATTATATAATTCCTTGCATTGCTCACTTTGTAATTTTTAACTATTTTTTGGGGGTAGGGGGTCCAGTCATGGGGCCTGAGCTCTGGGCCTGGGCACTGTCCCTTAGCTCTTCAGCTCAAGGCTAGTGCTCTACCACTTTGAGCCACAGCGCCACTCCAGCTTTTTTCTTTTTGCTTATGTGGTGCTGAGGAATCAAACCCAGGGCCTCATGCATGCAAGGCAAGTGCTCTACCACTGAGCCACTTTCCCAGCCCTTCAACAATTTTTTATAGCAAGTGAACTAGCCTCAGATTATTAGACTAATCAAAAACTCTAGGGGAAAAGCTTTATCATTTTAACACTCAGAAAATACACTGACTTTACCTTTTTAAAGCCTTTCCAATACCTCTGGGACTTCCAATGATTCATAACTTAATTACAAATCACAAGCAAGCAAAAAGGAAAGATGACTCCCTTGTGTCTGCTATCAACTGACACATCATTTCAAAGACTCCACTGAGACATGTGGTCAGTAAATGAAAAACAAGAAAATCCGCATCTAAGTAACTGTATGGCCAGGCATTCTCTTAACGCTAGGGTAGCAGTGAATCCCATGTGGGAAAATAATCAATACAAAAAAATGTAAACCAACAATCAGATTACACATCGATGGACATATTAAACTGAAACTTCCTTGTACAACTATTTGAAGATATACAAGCTCAACAGGCAGAGAGTCATGCCTCACGGACCTTTGGGGTCTCGTCTATGTAGCCATCATCTTTAAGATTCTAGACTTTTAACCTCAAAAGTTCTGAGGTGTGGATGAGATTAGGAGCTTGAGGGAAACTATGCTAAAGGCATAGGTATATCTGAAGTGGCAACAAAGACCACCCCCAGGGGGAAAAGGTCGCAAGAAAAGGGATTGAGATCTGGAGTTGAGCTTAAGTTTGGTTTTGCTTGTCTGCATTAAAAGAAGAAAACCCGAGCTGACTGACACAGGGAAGGTGTTAAATGCTACAGCCAGGGTGGTGCCAGGAGCACCTAGGAAATCCTCAGGTTAAGAAGAGAATCGCTGGCCCACATGTTTGCTGTCTTTGCAGCCCAGGACAGGGCGAGGAGGAGACAGACGACAAAGACAGATGGATGACACGTGAAGGGGAGACGAAGGGCGCGTCCAAAGACCCCTCAAGGCCCCAGACGGCCGGCCACGGGTCCTTTCACCGCGGGCAGGGCCCCCGGGAAACCCCGTCACTCGGGGCAGGAGATAGTCACTCCCAGCCACCTCGACTCCGCGGGTCTGGAGCGGAACCCTCACCGAAACAGAAGACGCTGGAGAACTGTACAAATGTAAAGCAGTCACCGACCGAGGAACCGCCGCGGCGCGGGCGGCGGCGGCCACCAGAACCACCACGCGCCCGCAGTCACTGCGGCCTCGGCGCCGTGGCGGCAGGAACTGCGCGCCCGAGGCCCCGCCGGGCCACCATAGTCGGAGGCACGGCCTCCGCTGTCGACCCATTCGCCAGTCACTTCCGGGACACGGGAGCATCCCGAAGGGCGGCGGCGGCTGAAGCGCTCCGCCCGGAGCTTCTTTTCCACCGGTTCTACTCCAGCTTTCTAGTCAGCAAGGCAGCCAGCACCGAGAGAGAATCCATCCGGAAACAACCTAAGGCTTGTCTCTATGATAAGACATTGCGGCTGCCGTACGTTTCTGTTTAGGGGTTGGACTTCAACTACCAGCATGCCTTGCAACATAATCACGCTTGCCTGCGGCGAAGGAACTACAAGGTCCAGCGTGCGCTGCGGTCCCCCTCACCGCCCCCCCCTCCCCCCCGCCTTTGTAGCTCTCTAACCGAGCCTGGCTTTGATTTTAAAAACAAAACAAAAAGTACCCTCTCTTATCCTGTTGTTAGGGTACTCCTAGCAAACCTAAAGTTGGAACTATAGGCTAGGTAATTGGAAAACATCCATTTGTGCATTCATTTTCCACATTCAGGTTCCTTTCAAGGAGGCCTTACTTTTTTTTTCTTTTTTTTCTTTTTTAGTGTTATTATAAAGGTGATGCACGAAGAGGTTACGGTTATATAAGAGGAGGCCTCATTTTTAAGAGCTGTCGAGACAAATACTAATTATTGCTCAATGTGAGCCTACAGTATTCTTAGGTGCCACAGATTTCGTTGGAACAGAACTAAAAGACATTTCTCCTGAAATGCATAGGAAATCACAGAACTTAGAAATATTTAAGGCTATGCTGCTTAACTATGAAACAACACGGGAATAAAAACTATCCAGAAACATTTTTCAAGTTTTGCGTGTTTAGAGGTTTGGATTAGGTGGTGTTTTGTTATATTTTGGGGCCATACTGGGCCAAAAGCAGTTTTTCACTGGTTTATTTTTAGGATAGAGTATTCTTTCTGCTCTGGCCTCGGAGCTAATCCACCTATTTGAAGCTTCTTTTTGAGACAAGGTAGATACAGGGGGGAAAAAAGGAAATTGTTATTTTCAGCATATACCAAAAGGGCCAGGCCCACAAATTAAATTAAGAAGTAAACTTAGAAATTATGTAAGCTCCCCACTAACATTTGCTTTTAATATTAAATTAGAAGATTGGGGTGGGAGTTGTGACAATCTAAATCTGTTTTATCCTTGGAAATGGTAAAACTGAAGGTCACCTGCGTTTTGGTTGTACTCCACCCAATTTACCCACCCAAAATGATTGTCTAAGGATTTGGAGTTACTGACAAGCATCTATTCCCCCAGCTCTAAGAGAATAAAGGCAGCAAATAACACTTGTCATCTTGAGTCCTTAACTCCCATTTTAAGTATGGGGAGCAGAAAATGTTTCTCTTTCTCCCTTGGTTAAAACTTTCGCCTTAAGCCAGGCACCAGTGGCTCACACCTACAATCCTAGCTGCTCTGGAGGCTGAGATCTGAGGATCTTGTTTCAAAGTCAGCTCAAGCAGGAAAGTCCAAGAGACTCTTACTTCCAACTAATCACCAAAAAAAGAAAAAGAAAAGCTGGAAATGATGCTGTAGCTCAAGTGGGATAGAGTGCTAACCTTGAACAAAAGTTGCTTAGGGACAGCACCCAGGCCCAGAATTCAAAGCCCAGGATGAGGAGAAAGGGAATTTTCAACTTATGAAACAGTCTTTTTTGTGAAAACTGGGAAAGGTAGGGAAGCCATCATTCATTTCCTGATGACATTGTCATCCTGGGATCATAGGTAGAGTATCCTGTCCAGCTTCCTTCCTTGTCTGCCAGGGCTATCCGAGAATCTTGATCCTCCCCATCTCAGCTTCCCATATGTTTTGGGATGATAGACACATACCATTGCAATTAGCTATGGCTTGATAAGGAGTCTTATAAACTTTTCTGCCCCAGCTGGCCTCAAATCTTCCGATTCTCAGTCTCTCAAGTAGCTAGTGTTACTGGTAGGAGCCATGGGCATGCTGCTTTTGTTTTGTTTTTTAGGTAAAATCTATGTAGCCCAGGCAGGCCTTGAACTTGTGATCTTCCTTCCTCAGCCTTCCAGATGCTAGAATTACAAGACTCTGCTACCACAAAAGGAAAATGAGTCCATTTTTTATTTATTTTTTATTCTAAGGAGATAACTAGAGTAACTAAATCTATCCATTTGCTACTCACATGTTGAGCCAATCATTTAACCCATCAAACAGGGTATGACAGAATACCAACTAGATCATTTATTAGAGTGAGTGAACAAACAAAATAATTGTTTTCCGGGCTGGGAAGGTGGCTCAGTGGTAGAGTGCTTGCCTTGTATGCCTGAGGCCCTGGGTTCGATTCCTCAGCACCACATGAGCAAAAAGAAAAAAGCTGGAAGTGGTGCTGTGGCCCAAGTGGTAGAGCGCTAGCCTTGAGCTGAAAAGCTGAGGGACAGTGCCCAGGCCCACGACCAGACCAAAAAAAAAAAATTGTTTTCATACTGTGGTTCCTGTATTTTGAGATATAGACCTCTTTCTGATTGTTTAGAAGAATCACCATGAATAAGTGCATAAAGATTTGGTGTATAAAGGTGAATATAGGGGCTGGGAAGGTGGCTCAATGGCAGAGCACTTGCCTTGCATGCATGAGAACCCTGGGTTCAATTCCTCAGCACCACATAAGCAAAAAGAAAAAAGCCGGAAGTAGCACTGTGGCTCAAAGTGGTAGAGCGCTGGACTTGAGCTGAAGATCTGAAGTACAGTGTTCAGGCCCCATGACCGGACCCAAAAAATAAATAAATAAAGGTGAATATATTTTATTTTTGAATTTTGCATTAACAGGACTTGAAAAACAAAGCTTGGATTTATAAAATATCTCTATGAACATTAGACCAAATTAAATTACCTGTTCAACAAATATTAACCTTCTGTTGATTTATACCAAAACAAATTTTAATTAGTTAGGAAAAGGAACAGAATACATTTTATTTTTATAACTTCACATAGAAGTCACAGAGGGACCTTATATTCTCTAACACTGACATGGCATCAGCTACCATACAAACTGCTTTCCAACTCCAGTGTGCTAAATTATGCAACACAAGCATGTAAATATTTAAAATCTATGATCATGGCAGGCAATCTGCTTCTTTCCATGCTCATGAACAAAAACAATATGATTAAATGTAGAACATTTCCACTAGTGACTCAAAGGTTATGTTGATAAACCATAATTAGGTAAAATGATATTCACAAATAATTTTATTAGGCAAATATATAATTGAATCTACTTATTAGTGATATTATTAAGGAAGCCTTAAAATATATTAAATATTTGATGTACATATTGCTAAGGCAGTTTCAATAATCAATTGTGTAAATGAACTTGGAAGAGAGTTTAAAGAGTACATAATTTATGTAACAGACTGGTTTTTAGAGTTTCTTGCAGCTGTAACATTCAGCAATAGTCTCTCCTCTACCTGTCTTTGATTTTTTTCAATACAGCTAATTTCTAACCACACAAAAGTTTAAACTGAACAAGCTGTTCATTTCAGTCCAACAGATAAGATGATGAGTACTATTACTGAAGAACAGATAATTTCCATAATTAGGAAAGATTTAAAAGGAAAAAGAAAATCAGAGAAGAAAGCTTGAGCAGAAATGAAAAACAGAAAGGAAAAATATATATATATAATATTGCCAGATCAGTATGTTATTACTTGAAAGTGTATATCCCCTAATATACCTGCTAAAAAGCAGGTGCTATGTTTTAAATATCTCTGTCCCTCTCAGATCTAAGCACAATACATTGCACAGAGTAACCAGTTCTCAATAAATGTCAGAACATAGTCATTGGAAACTTTCTTCTCATTCATACTACACAGTTTCTTTGTTCCTGTGCTTTTTTTTTTTGTTTATTTGGCTGGTTGGCTGGGATTTTGTTGGATGATGATGATGATTTATCATTGTTATTTTGCTTTATTTAGCAGTACTGGAATTTGAACAAAGGGTCTTGTACTAGCTAGGTGAGTGATCTGCCACCGAGCAATGACCCTAGCCCCACTTATTGCTTGTTATTTTTGAAATAGGGTCTCATTTCTTGTTTGGTGCACACCTGAACCACAATTGACTTAGGCTTCCCATGATTGCTGGGATAACAGGAATGTGCCACTGAGTTCAGCATCCCTCTATTGAAATGGAGTTTTCAGAGTTTTCTGCCAAGACTCACCTAGAACTGAAATCCTCTCAATCAACCTCATTTCTACCTGAGGATGACAGATGCACTCTACTGTACCCAGCTATGGGTTTTTTGGTTTGTTTGTTTTGCCAGTCTGGGGGCTTGAACTCAGTATCTGGACACTGTCCCTGAGCTTCCTTTGCTCAAGGCTCTCTAACACTTGAGCCACAGCACCACTTCCAGCTTTTTCTGTTTATGTGGTATGGTACTGAGGAATTGAACCCAGGGATTCATGCATCCTCGGCAAGCACTTTATCACTAAGCCACAATCCCGGCCCCCAGCTATGGGTTGAGAAGAGTTTCACAAGCTTTTATTGCAGGCTGGCATTGAACAGTGACCTTCTAGGTCTCAGCTTTCCGAGTAGCCAGAATAACAGGTATGAGCCACTGTTGCCCAGAAACATATTGCATAGTTGTGTGTGTATCTGTGTGTGTGTCAGTAATTGGCTTAAACTGAGGGCCTGGGCACTGTCCCTTACCTTTTCTACCACTTGAGTCGTAGCTTCATTTCTAACCTATAAATAGATGGTTTTAGTTTTTCTTTTTCAATCTAGATACCTTTCATTTCTCTTTCTTTCTTCCTTCCTTTTTTTTGGTTGTAGGGCCTGAACTCAGGGCCTGGGCTCTTTCCCCACCCACCCCGCTCACAGCTAGCACTCTACCAGTTTGAGCAATAGCGCCACTTCCAGTTTTCTGGTGGCTAATTGGAGATGAGAGTCTTACAA